TAAACTGTTACCGGGCCTGTGTGACCACCAGGAATTGCTTTATAAGCTTATTCCTAATATTTATTTCTGTGGACATGGGTAGTTTATTCTCATGCATGCATAGATTGGTACTCATAAAGAGTTAAAGGCACTCATTTACAGATCTCCAGGGTTCCTTCTGTGTGAAGCTCCTTACTCCCTGGTACTCTGCTTTGTGAATTCTGGGAATCTTGGCCTCCCAAACTCTAATCTCTGTCTCTTCACCTTGAGAAGAGAGTGTTTAGGTTCCTTTTTGCTACAGCCTAGGAACTGCCCTAGGAAGAAATCTAGATAGTTATAAGAATCACATAATTTGTTACCTATTTTCCGGTGCTTAAAAATCATTATGTCTACATTTTGTCCACTTTCTTGTTGTTTAAGGTGGGAGGGTCCATGTTACTGCATCATAAACAACAGAAGTTCTGATTCCATAAATTTTGTATGTAGTCTGATTGTCAATATTATCTTACATTCTTATCTTTGTTTATCTTATCGTACAATTTTCTAATAACAAATTTTGTTTATTGTACACTATCACTTATTTCACCAATTAAATAATTACCGTTTAAAGGCAATTATGAAAAACAGAAACATAAGTTCTATCCTGAAATTTCATTTTTACCTAAACCATTTATTCTCAAATTTTCTTAGACTCTGAATACATACATTCACCAACCTTAAAAAAACAAAATTTCTACTCATTAAGTTCTTTCCCACAATTTGGGACTGGGATAGACCTAGGTGTGGTTACAGTGAATAAACAATAAAAAAGTTATTCTCAGTCTTAAATAACCAGCATAATATTCTTCTCTCTATTACATGTATCTTCAACTTCTTAGCACACTAGCTGCCTGGCATTGCTGTTACAGAAAACAACATTTCTTGAAAAAATCCTGATTGTATATGTTTCAGAATACAATAGTTTTTATTTTTCTTTGAATATAATGGAATGTTTTGGTATAGTATATTGAGGTTGAAAGAATAGTAGGCATTATAAGCTATGAGAATTTCTCAAATATGCTGTCAGTATAGCCTCTAACATTTGCAATAAAGGCCATTATTTAACTATTTAACAAATGCAATATTGCAAAACACCCCCATTCTTTTAAATTCTTAGGTTGTAAAAATTAAGAGCCATATCTATGTAGTATTTGTCATATAGCATCAAATACAATACCACACATAATTAAGTGCTCAATAGTGCTTTTTGATGAGCAGGATAATAATGACTTTCTAAAAAAGGTCTATCAATCTCAATGGAATAGAGAAAGTGATGGGTGTTTGAACGCTAATATCACACAGATTTCTGAGCTACGAGAGACACCTAAACACTGTCCACCTTCAGGCCTTTAAAAATATTATTTATTTTAGTTTGAATTTATTTTATTTCTTCTTTGTTTTTCCTTTATAGAATTGCATACTTTTAGTCTGAGAAAAAAGGAAACGCATGTTTATCTCACTCTATTATTAACCTTTCATACTGTGTGTTAAAATTTTGGTCTATCTTTTGCCTTTTTTTGTTGGAATTATTCAGATAAACTCAGTTTGCCTTTTGTTAGATTCTTACACCATAAGATTATACTATTTCTTTAATATTTTCATGAACTAATATGCAAAAACCAAACCCAGTTATCCACAAGAAGGCATACCAAGAATGTTAAATTATAATACAATTTAACTGAGTTTGTGCATATTAGAACATGAAACATTAAACATATTCATTTTCGTGAAATTTTAGTAGTACTCCTTCCCTGCCCCCACATTTGTTTCCTTAGTGCTATGTACAAGCATCCATATAGCAATCTGAAGATATAGCATACTGTCAAGCTCACAGAATCTGGAGCCAAAAACACAAGGTGTGTGATTGTGAGTAAATTTAACACTTCTCTGCCTCAGTTTCCTCAACTGTGTAAAATAAGGCTACTTACAACACTTACTTCATAGAATTAGGAAGACTAAATGTTAAAATAATATTATCCACCGCATGGAACTCTGAAAATTGAAGAGCTTATAAGACTATCTCAGAGTTATTAAGCCACCAATAAATGCTAGCTATTACTGTCACTTCATCATCATAACCACTACTATCAAGAGTCTTGGAGTTCCTGGGAAGAACAGGCCTGTGTTTTATTCCCTTTTTCTACCTTTTGTGTTGAGCACAGTGACTGGAAAATAATATGAATTCAGGAATTATTTTTAGTTTATAAATTGTATGTGTTTGTCTCTACCAACAGTGTTTAGATGGATGGAATTTTGGCTGGGGAGCCCTATCCATGTGCCTTGGTTCTCAGTAGCAGTAGTGATGATGTAAATTACCTTTGGAACTACAAATATTGCCTACTCAAAGACTCCTGGAATATGACCTCTCAGCAAGTTCAATTTTTCCGTTGCCACTTGCTTTTCCCCCAGACTATGAGTATATGTTTAATCGATAACGATTTAATGGCTCTTGTCTTCAGGTGCAATGGCTTACCTACGAGGAGAGATGCCATCTCATTACAAAATAGAATACCTCCTTCTTCACTGCCCTGGGCTGCCCTTAGCCTTCCCCAGGTGCCCCAAGTCTACAACAGTAAATTCTTCCATGTTCAGGTGCTCAAAGGCTATGAAACCTTTACATTTCCCTGATAAGCATGACTATAGATAACTCCTTACTGTCTTGAATATGCTGTACGGATAAGTCCCTAAGAAAACAACTCTAGGTACCTATTTTCCAAACATACCAGTTCAGAATCAGTAAGGGAAACCAGGGACTATCCATGAAGTAAACAGTTTTATTTTATAACCCATAGTATACAAAACGCCCAAAACTTAAAAACAGAATTTTAAAGCTTACATCCTGCTAATATTAAATTATATTTAAATTTAGAATACCACTAAAACGATCTCTCTTTCATGCCTGAATTCATGGATCATACTTTGTTTTAAACCATGAGCTACTAACAGTTTTCATAGACTATACAAAACTGTTAACTTAGATAATTCTCTGAAATTCCAGGCATGAATTCTTAAAAGACTGCATGGCTTGCAAACTTAACTTAAAAAAAGATCCTCCTAGTTTTAAGGACTGAGAGATTCATTAGTCGACTAAACTTGTCTACTCAGTAGAAAAGAGAAAACATAGGGGAAAAAGTTCGAGCAATGCTGGATTCAAGGAGAAGAGAATGCCCATCCTAACCTCCCCCACCACAAAAATCACTGCAGCAAGTTGTAAATGATGTATGAAATGACAAATCCCTGCCCAGTGCACAAAAAGAATATAAATACTGCTCTGTAATCACTGCAGTGGTGTGCTACTCGCTAAAATTTTCAGCTTAGGCGAACCCAGGAAAACCTCACCTCATCTGTAAATCCAAAAAAGAAATGAACCAAAATGAGGTTATATTATTTTACTGTATGCAACAACCTCCTCTTTTTTCTCTTTCCCTAGCCATAAAAAACATACTTATTGAATATCTAGAATACTTAGGTGTTACTAAGGCATTTGTCTAAGAAAAATTTTTAAAAAAACTTTTGAACAAGGAAATGTCTAAATCCGTATATTAGATGGAGGACACTAGAAAGAACTTCCATTCTGGAGTCATCCAGACCCAGGTTTGAACCCGGGTTTTGTTTGAATCCTGTATTTGACTCTAGCTGCATGACTTCTCACGTTTTTAAAATTTCTCTGAGCTTTAGCCTTTTTCTGCGTTAAATGAAAATAATACGTTCTCCATAATTCTGATGATTAACTAAAATGACATAAAGTGTGAAGCTCATTGCCCTTTTTGACACAAAGTAAGTACTTGCAAAATTTGGGTCAATATTTTCCTCCCTTTTCATGATGGAGGCATGTGTTCTGGCATGGAAGGAACGCTGCATTTTGAACTGGAAGTTCTGAGTTTGGTTTTTCACTTTTTAATTTATTAGACAATTCACTCAAACTTTCTGAATAGGTATTAACTATTTTTTTCATGAAAATAGGTATGTTTTCTCCTATGAAAATAACATACAAAAATGTATAAACTGAAATGTTAAATAAGTATAAGATATTATTATAAATTAACATACCTGAATAAAAAGTATGGACATACATAAGATCCAGGTTTCTATGAATCTGTTCTTCAGAGAGGTGAAAAACTATACTTTTGTCTTATTCTACAATTACGAGAATTTTCTTTGGTCAGTTTCTTCAAGGGCATATTTACTAGAAGTGTCTCATAAAAAAATTACACGATCTCCTTAAAATGCAGAGGTGAAGGATGCACACATTGGAAGTGGACTCCAGGACACTGATGGTACATTGAAAATCAACTGTCACTTGTCTTTTTCTGTCTCAGCTTTCTATCACACAACTAGCTGCCCTCATTAGCTCTGGAAGTTGATACTGAGTGTCTACCCCATGCCAGACTAGCTCTCCTTTCTGCGGCAAAAGGAACAAGTCACCTTTGGAAAAACTAAGGCTTAGATTCTACTGCTTTTCAAATAACTAACACATTTGGAAATTTTTAGAATCTCTCCTCAGTAAATAATGTTGTAGAGAGCAAACTGAGGCAGAGGAAGGACCCCATACAGACTGATGTAAATCCACATCAAAGTTCTGCCTTCAAATGAAGTGTCATTCCTATTCAAATGTAAAGCTTTTCATGCATAAAAATTAGGTGATCACCAGAGGAAAATAAAGTAATTTTCAAAATCTCATTTAATTCACTTAATAAGACCATAAACCAAAGAAAATGAAAAATGCCAAGGAAAAGAGAAGATATATACTAACCAATAACAGGTTTCATTTCCTACTAGGAAAAAAAGAGAGTGCTCAGTAAGATTTGAACAGAGAATGAGGCCAATTCATTTTGATCCTGTGGCAATACTTTGAAGCTTACTTTTTAACCTACTCTATTCTACATTTCCAGATGCTATGAAAGGCAATGTATGCAGAAAGCCAGACCGATGGGGATTTGAGTATTTCATTTTCCCAACTATAGTGATGATTTGGATCTTACTTTTTCTGAAAGCATCTTTAAAGAATTCTTCAGGCTGTCTGGAGAATGCTGGCTTGCAGAATTAAGCAGTAGGTCTGCATGGGTTGCTACAAGAGGTTGTAGTTGATTGATGTTGCTGAGCACTTCTTTTGCTTTGGCTGTGTTTTCAGGTGAATAGTAAATAAACTGGTATCCGGTACTGCAACAACAAAGATAAAAATAAGTTACACAAACAGCATAACGGATATTCAGCCCTTAATACCAGATGGCAAATGATAAACAAAACTCCAAGTATCACTCTTTCCTATTGATCAGATAAGAACTATCCTAAGAGATTTTTAATAATGCACTAACAATTTTTATGTAAGGTGACAAAAATACTTTTTAAAACTAGGTAATCTTGTCTTTGCTAAAACACTGGGAAGATTAATAGTAATATTTGACATGATTACTAATACTAATACTTGACATGACACATATGTAATCATGTCAAATAACAGTATTCAAAACAAATTAGTATTACTGTTGATTTCTAATGAACTTGAGGCCACGTAAGCCAGTGGGAAAAGCGAGCTTTTATATTCAGGCCAATCTCAACTTAAATCCTGGCTTGTCACTAACTAGCTGGGTGACCTTCGGCAGCTTTCTTCCTCATCAGGAAACTGGTAATCATCATTCAAACGATTCTATGAGGTGTGTAACATTAGAAGTCATTCATATAAAGTGCCTAAAATTGTGCTTGGCACAGAGATAGCATTCAATAACTACTACCTAAAGTTTCCCCCCCATGTTACTAGGTGAGGGCTGTGGAGGAAGTAAATTTTAATAGCTGAGAAATGAGGAGAAAATTAATGAATGTCAAGTGGGCACATGGACAAATATATTGGATAGAAAAAGGACATTAGTAGCAGAATGCTATTTCATGGTGTTATTTTATCATGATACTTTTTCTTCTTACGGTTTTCCATTTAACATACAAAGAAATCTAAAACTGATTATTAACTAAAGAATTAATAGACTTTTTTTTTTTTAAGATACAGGATCTCACTCTGTCCCCCAGGCTGTAGTACAGTGGTGTAAACAGAGCCTACTGCATCACCTAACTCTCAGTTTCCAGTGATTCTCCCACTCAGCCTCTTGAGTATCTGAGACTACAAGTACAAGCCATCACACCTGACTAAATTAAAAAACAAAATTCATAGAGACCAGTCTTACTATGTTTGCACAGACTGGTCTTGAATGCCTAGCCTCGAGCAATCCTCCCCTCTTGGCCTGCCAAAGTGCTGGGATTACAGGCTTGAGAATTATTGACTTTTATAATAATCATCTAGGAACTAATCAAGCACGTTATGGGAGTAGGGATTTTTTAGAGTGAAGGAATCTTTGATCCATTTCATTAGGAAAAGGCATTCCAGCAGGAAAGCTGCAAAACAGCAAAACAGTGGCTAGAAGCAAAGAAGAGGGAAGTAACGACTTGTGCATTCGCAAGATTGGTGTAAACTTGCTTACATCCCATTATACCCAAATATCAAGACATTTTTTCAAAACACTTTGCAGTCAATGTTAGGTATTTACTGAATATGTCTACTACATTTTTACCAGCTCAATTATTTAAATTCCATAATTTTATTTCTTACCTTGAAACCTCAGACACCACTGAGAAAAACTGACATCTAGGAAGCATTCTCTGTTCTATTCCTCTCACACTAGTGATTTTTCAGGGGAAAATTACCAGAATCTTTAAGAAAACAGTTTTTTTTTTTTTTTCAAACACATAATGAATATTCCTCCTATTTATTTACTTATTTAGTAAAAGATTAAAAGAAATGCTCTTTGAGGCTTGGGCTATTCAGAAGATTGAACAATAAGTCAATGAAGGTATCAGGTTTATGAAGGCTAAAGAAACGCACTACTAGTTTACGACCCTTACAGATATTTGCTCTCAATTTTTTACTTGTAGACTTTTAAATGTCAGAAGTGAGGGCTTCAAATAAAACATACCTTAATTTGCTATTATGTATCTCTTAATGCAAGTTAAAGTAAATGAAAAATAACAATTGTGAGGAGGGAAAAGGAAACAGTAGTCCTTGCCAATTCTTTGTGTCTCTTTCTGACTTCTTGAGTGGTTAAGACAGATCTCATGCAGGAGTGTACTAAGGACTTTAGAAAAGAAATCATGAACTCAGGCTGGATACAAAGTTTAATCCGTAATAGACTTTAATAAATCAAACAGTTCCACATTATTTTTCCAAAGAAAATGATTCTCTAAAGATATAGATGTGTCACCAGAATTTAAACAACGTTTGATACCCAGCAGCTCGGAGGGCAGAAAGCAGGACCTACTTACAGACCCAATGCAGAGCCATGTGGTCGCTGCTATGTGATCCCTCTTTGCAGGTCTGCTATTCTGTCATCAGAGGTTGCTTCCTGTGTCCTCTTATGGCTATTTACAGACTCCCCATGGCTTAGCCTTTGGAAAGCTAGAATACTCATGGCCTTGTGGGGTCTTCCATCTCTCTCTTCACATGACTGCTTTCTGAATGTGTCTTCTCTGGTCTCTCATACACTCACTTCTATCCATTCCATTTTACTCCTATCACTTTTGCTTGCCTTCTTTACTATTATTCTTTCCCAGAAGTTCACTGTTACTGTTTTCCTGAATATTACTACTTTCATTATCAAATTCTCTGACAGTCTCTACTCCATTCTTCTCTAATTCACACATTTCTAATATGTATTCTGCACATGTTCTTTACTTATGCCCTAGTTGAATGGTGCTCAAATTTTAGCAGTCACAATGAGATTCCCTTGGGGTTGAGGATAGGCCTCAATGTTTCCTGAAAAAATGCAGATTCCTTGGCAACATCAAGAGATTCTGCTTTAGTAGGGTGTAGCATTTGTGACAAGCACCTCTGGAGATACAGATGTAGGGACGGAGCATCTTTAGAGATACCCTGTCACTGTTTTGACTGAGATCCCCTGTAAACCCTTGATCATGCTACACAAGGACTCTGATAAAAGTTCTCTCTTAAGGTATTCAAATTTTCTTAGCACCTTTTACAAGGCTACTTTTACACCCCATCTTATTCACACAAGTTGCTTTGGTTCCCTCCTCATTACCAGTGTTTGCTCTCCTAACCTTTTTCATCATCATTTCATCTTTTCCTTCCCAACATATTCCCTTTCCTCTCCCCAATACATTCTTCAATCACCATGATGGGACATAATCCTAACTTCTGCCTCTTTCTCCTAATTCAGTCTTCTTTGGAGCAGAGTTATGTAGCAGGCATCGGTTGAAGTCTTTTTAACGATGAACACCTCACCTAGCGAGGCTGAAAGATTCATTTTCCATAATAAAAGCCAATGCTGGTGTCCAGGATGAAAGGATGAAATAGTATGGTATGGAAAAAAATCACCACTCACAAAATAATTTTAAGTATACATAAATTTTATCTACCTATTCAGTGCCTTACTCTTTAAACATGTCATATATTTTAACAGTTATAGCTTCTTAAATGGGAAGTAATAAGTATAATTTAATTATCTAGATAAAAAGAACATAGCTAAACTCTATTTTATAGTAGTACAAAATTTAAACTGGATCCAAACACTTGAGTCAACAATCAATCAGACAACTCTGGAAGAAAGACAAAATACTTACTTGGACGAAATATTTTATAGAATATAAATAGTACTGCAAATCACAGATAATGAAAATTGAAATTAGTTTCATATTTTTTCTATAGATGAGAGAGTGAATTAAAGTGTACTATATACTTTAATATATTCATTTAAATAAGGTAATTTAATATATTTAATATTATTTTCATTAGAATGCACACCCACATCCCCATCCTCACATGTTTGTGTGTGTGTATGTTGTTACTATCCATGTCATATTTTGGAGTTGTAAAAATAATATAAAGCACATAATGAAGTAACATTCACATTCATAAGCTCTAATTGCTAACCAAAGTACAATTAAAACAAGGATTTATATATCCCTGAGTGTATATTTGTGCCAGTCCCTTTTTCCTGGTCTTCCTTATTTTCCTATCCACTTGTTGGCTTGCTCCAAGACTCAGTTCTTGGAACTCTTTTATCTACATGTCCCTCCTAAGTAATCTCATGGTTCAAATAAACATGTTGCACTAATGATTTCCAAATCTTCATCTCTAGCCTAGACTTTCACCCTGAACTCCAATGAAAACAAAAGCTCTCCTGTTTACAGATCCAGCTTAACATGTCCCAAACTGATCCCCAGATCTGCTCCCCGCCTTCAACACCCAGCTCCTTTGCACTCTTCCCCATCTTAGATTATGGCAGGTCCATTTAATATTGTCTGTCATTCTTTGGCTCTTATCTTTCATCCAAATTTTCAGAAAGTCGTGCTTTTTCCTTCAAAATATATCCAGAATCCAACCACTTATTTCCACATTCATTGCAACCACCCCATCATTCCTACCACTAGGATTAGTGCAATAGCTCACAAACTGGTCTCCACTCCTCTGTACTTAAACTTATCTATTGCAAGATAAACAATACTCTAAGATATTGAAGTCCTTGATTTATGCTTAGGGTTTGAAGAAGGCAGGAGGCAGACAAGAAGAGAAATACAATTTATTTTCCTTAACTCCTTGACCACAAATGCACATGGTGGGACTTGCTCTATTACTTATCCATCCTTTCACTTTCCACTCCATTGCTACCTCCACTCCTTAATCTGTTTGCTCAACCAAGCTACTACTTTGCACAGCGGAGTCATTAAAAAAGATAGATGAGACATGAGTAACAGGCAAGGAGGAAAACAAGAAAGAAAAGACAGGGAAGGTGGGGCATGAACAGAAGGGGATTGGGATTGATGACTTTAGGGAAAAATGACTTAGAGTGGTGTGTCTCTTCTCCTGTGGCAGAATTAAATGTCCAGAGGAAAAAAAAATCTAGAACATCTAGAACTATTTCCACTTATCTTTTTCTAGCTCAAACACACCCTGTAAAAAACAAAAAACAAAAAACAACAACAAAAGAAAACAATGTGGTCTCTTGAATCCGGAGAACTTGAATACTCTCAGTTCTGACTGAGAAGAAAATAGTGTGGATCACAAAAGAAAATTTACACCTTAGTGCACTTAAATATACCCTTCTGGTCTCACACGGTTTAATAACGGGCTTTGTGCCTCTCTGCTTTCCCCAATGCAC